ATTTCAGAAGAGAGATATATCAAGGTATCGTGGATAGTGTCATGACAGGAGAATGTAGAGGAGAAAAAGTTGGTCAAAGGGTATTACTTTCAACATCATTTATTGGGGGTCCTAGAGATATGCGGCGACGCTACATGGATGTTATGGCTCCGGTTCAATATTTTGGAAGACCAGAACTATTTATCACGATGACATATAACATTGAATGGGTAGAGATTCAAGAAGAGTTGTGTGAAGGTCAACTCTCTCAAGATAGGCCAGACATAGTGACTAGAGTTTTTAGAACAAAGTTACAAGACCTTAAATACCAAATTTTCAACAAAGAAATATTTAGCCCTATTGTAGCACATGTTTTTGTCATTGAATTCCAAAAGAAAGGCTTACCTCATGTATACCTTTTGGTAATATTTAAAGAAGCTCACAGGATAGCAACAACATATTAGTATGATAGATTTATTTCAGCAGAATTATTTGACAATGACAAACAACCGCACCTGAATGAATTAGTTATAAGGCATATGATGCATGGACCTTACGGTGAAAATCGGCCAACAAGTCCATGCATGAAGAATGATCAATATAAATTCCATTATCCACGACCATTCAGTAACAAATCAATATAAGGAAAGGATGTATATCCTATTTATAAGAGAAGAAATAATGGGAAAACAGTAAATGTCCGTGGAATGAATATGAATAACCAGTGGGTTGTGCCTTATAATCCATATTTGTTGATGAGATATAATTGCCATGTCAATGTAGAAGCTTGCTCAGGAGTAAAAGCAATAAAATATCTCTACAAATAAATATANTATATATATATATATATATATATATGTGTGCAATTTATATTGAGTCGGGTGATGGAGAAGAAATAGTTGATGAAATTAGAAATTTTCAAGATGCACGATAGGTCTCTCCGCCAGAAGCACTATGGAGAATTTATGAGTTTAATTTAAGTGAAATGCAATCTTCAGTTATTAGCCTTCAACTACATCTACCCTACAAACAAGCATGTACTAAAATTAATTAGCTCATATAGCAAAATTTATAACAAATTTTTTCATGCATGTACGTCAATATTTATGTTCTACTATTGTATCCATACTCTAGTGTACTATTGGAAGAAGCAAAATCTCAGAAATGTGATGGCCTCAGACACTGTAAAGCATTCTATGCTCACCAAGTATTTCAGGATGTGCTCAATAGACGATGAGGCACGGAATTATCTTTACAGAGAATTTTCAAAGCATTATGTTTGGAACCCGCAGCCCAAAATTTGGACGAAAAGAAAAACACGATCCGTGATTGATCGGATTGTTATTGGTAAGACAACTACTACTTAAATTCACATTATTATTCACTTCTTAAATTATGCTTATTAACATTAAAAAATCAATAATATAACTAATCCCCGAGAAGGTGAAAGATATTACGAGATATTATTACTAAACCACGTTAGAGGACCATTTTCATTTGAAGATTTGATCACTATTAATGAAAAAAAAAATGTGAAACTTTCAAAGAAGCTGCCAAAGAAAGAGGATTATTAGAATTAGATAATAGCATTTTTGAATATTTACGTGAGGTTGTCTTCTTCAAAATGCCATCAGCTTTTCGAAGTTTATTTGCAATAATTTTAGTTCATTGCAATCCAACGGATATTAGAAATCTATGGGAATCATACTACGATGAAAGTCTTCGAAGAATGCATGAAAATTCACTTGCTACTCAACTCCAATGTACACTAAAAAGTATTAATTATTATCTAGGGAGTATGGGTTGAAGTGTTGAAAAATATGATTTACCAAAAATCAACCAACAGTCATGCCAAAAAATTACTTCAGGATATAGAGAAATAATTGAAGAAATATCTATGAAGGTACATGTAGAAGATTATGAGACACAATCAAAGTTGAATCATGAACAAGCACAAGCTTTCAAGACCATATTACATAGTGTAGACTCTAGAACAATATGATTATTTTTTGTAGATAGACTTGGGAGAACTGAAAAAAATATTATTATATCATGCATTACTAGCAAATGTTAGATCAAGAGGTATGATAGCTTTGGCAATTGCAACCAGTGGTGTAGCAGCAACAATATTACTAGGAGGTCGTACATCTCACTCTAGATTTGACATACCTCTTCAAACAAATGATACAACTATGACAAAAATATCAAAACACAGCGGTGCTGCTAAGTTAATAAGACAAATAAAATTAATAATATGGGATGAAGCACCCATGGCAAAGCGTCACATAATTGAGGAGCTTTCGCGATATAATGGATGTCAGTGTACCTTTTGGAGGAAAAGTCATGGTCTTTGGAGGCGATTTTCGACAAGTATTGCCAGTTGTTCCAAAATCTACAAGAACAGAGAAGGTTAACGCAAGTTTAGTGAAATCATATTTGTAGCCTTTAATGGAAAAGATACATTTCACAACTAATATGAGAGCAAGAGCATATCCAAATTTCAGTAATTCCTTACTTCGTGTTGGTTATGGAGATGAGAAAAGAGTAAAGGATAACTTAATACTTCTTCCAAAACAAATAGTTGTCAAACACAATACTGATGATAAAGGAGAAGAATGCTTGATAAGAGAAATATTTCCATCAACTACATCAAAATGCCAGTTCTGTACAGTTCATAACAGAAAAAGCTATATTAGCAAGTATAAATGAATTTGTAGATCAATTAAAATGAAATGTTTCCTGGTAAAAGCAAGATATTTATTAGTTTTGACCCCTGCAAAAGATGATACCAACAACTACTATCAAGAAGAATACATCAATACTTTAACACCAAATGATCTTCCTCCATATAGGTACATCGTCAAACCTATTATGTCACTTAAGTTTATCTTAAACTCTTTCTTTCACTCTCTCTATACATGTGTATACATACTTTTTAATTTACAAATACCAATAAAATTAAACATATTTATATTTCCTTAAATAAGTTAGTTTTGAAAGAAAATGCGCCCATCATACTACTTAGAAATTTAGACCCTTCAAATGGCTTATGTACTTATACAAGGATGACCTGGGGAGGATTTGACAACAATGCCATACATGCCGAAATTACAACGGATCAATCTGCTAAGAAACATATTTTTATCCCAAGAATCCAACTTGGTCCACCTGAAAATGAAGGATATCCTTTCAAATTCGTGCGAAAACAATTCCATGTACGCTTATGTTTTGCAATGACAATAAAAAAAGCACAAGGTCAAACAATACCCAATGTTGGATTGTATCTACCACAAGATGTTTTCTCACATGGACAACTTTACGTCGTACTTTCAAGAGGGATACCAATATCGATAACAAGAGTGCTTGTTATGACAGAACAACCAAAACGGATGGAAGGAACATACACAAGGAATATCATCTACAAGAAAGTATTTGGTGAGATACACTTAATTATAAATTATTAACCTCAAATTCATAAATAAGTATTCAAATCACATGTATGTAATACACTTTGATTGTTCATCTTTGTAGGTTCGGACGAACAATTCAATTGACGACGATCCCCAATGATCATTCAAAAAAAATTATGCTTTATTCTTTCATGTATACTTATACTTTAATTTTAATATTAGTTTGCAACAACGTGTATTAATGAACTCAATACATACGTGCAACGCACGTATCGAGAAACTAGTCCAGAGCATAAAGTCGGATACATCTTGTAATGTCACATGCTGGGCAAATTGAAGCTGCAGGTCCAAAGCAATAAAAAGATGGTTGAAGAATTAACATTCTAGCAACCATAAGACGTCACAATTTCATGTGGAGAACTTCGTTGTTGTAGGACAAATGTTCAGAGCAGCATTAGGCTAATGAGACCTTGATTATCATGTATACAGAAAAACGTAAGGTCAGAACCGCAAAGGGCAGAAATTCGATACAAAATGCTCAATGCATATTTGTGTAGTGAACATTAGTCTTTGTTACTAGTAACAGCTACAGTTGGAAACTAATAATGCTCACCCAATGATCCAAAGTAGATCGAAATCCAATGTGTTTGAATGAAATAATGAAGGGACCGTAATGCCTTTTAGCCCACATACAACCTCAAGCAGCCATCCGTTTTGCTGCTCCCAAATACTATACATTTCCTTAATCTTCACCGAGATTCCTTGGTATAAATGCATCATTTGGCCATATTTTTAAACCAATTGGTGTTTATCTTATTACAACTTGTAAGACATTTATGCTATCCAATATATCCTAGTTAGTAGTTAGAGCAGATATATGAGCTTAGCATCAACCAGCTAGAAATTCATAACACTTCTCTTACTATTAGGCCTGTAGGCAGTGCATAAAAGGTCCTTTTTTGCTATCCTCAATTGTAAAGAATTGGTTTCCAATTCATTCAGCAGGAAGGGAGGTGACTAGGTTACATAATCCTGTATTTACTTTTGGTTTTTAATCTACAGGTTGGGAATGGTTGTTCCTCTTCTTCTTTTTTTAATAAAAAAAAAAAAATACAAATAGGAACCTTAACTCATCTTAGGTAGACTTGTGATTTGCTAAGTAATTGCTCTAGTTCCAACTTCCAAGCTTGAAAAGGACCATGGGCTTTATTATGTAAAGACGCGCATAATCTCATTTAAAAAGAAAGAAAAAAAATGATTTGAGCAAATAATAACCTTTTTATAATCTCACATCTGATGTTTACACCAAATTATATCTAACTTTTTATAACTAAGTAATTTAATTTGCTAAGAATATTTACTAATTAACCATCGTTTAGTTAAAAAAAATAGTTTATGTGAAAACAAATATTAGGCGTCTATTAAATTGTTGTTATCAAGATCAACAGGCTAGAAATAGGCACCTTGTTTTCATTTGATTTAGAGCTAATTAATTTCTCTAGATTTGAAGGGTGTATTCCTTTTTATCTATGCTTCTAAGCAAACGAATGGTATTTGATGCCGCAGCATATCTCATTTTTTGTTTACTTAACCCCTCCCCCCCTACCCACCCACCCACAAAATACTCACACAGAGATGAGAGATGTTCTTCCACCTATAAAAGGTCGGTAAAATCACTTAGGAGGTTCATACTCTCTTCTATTCGTAGCTCCACGTAACTGAAATTTCACAATTTCGGCTTCTGAGAGAGGTAAGAACCAAGAACTAGAGAGGAAAACACAAAGCAAAAAGAAGAAAGAATGAAGCGAGCTTCGTCTTTGCCCATATTGTACGTTCTTGTTAATCCTTTCCTTTTTTCCTGACAGGTTCTTTTGCTTTACACTAATTCTACTTCGCTCTCTTCTCCACTATTCTGTTACAATGGCAGGAAAACTGTTGAAGGAACTCATCACGTAGATGTCAATAACAAAGGGAAGGAAATACTTGAAGATGATTCCAATGACGATGAGATCATTGACTCCGAGAAAATTAGCGAACCTGTGAGATGCAAAACAATACAAAAATGGGAACCCACTTCACGAGGTAGAATAAATTACTGTTTTCTCCTCCTCTGTTTATCTCTGTCTTTTTTTCTTCCCCCTCCATTTTGTATCAAGAATGTGGTTTTTGGGGTAATACAATCCTTCTTCCCACCAGAATGAGGGAATTTTCTGTTCTCTTGAAAGTTTTCAGTAGCCCATCAAATTCAGTAATTATTTGAAGCTCTTGGTTGCCCAGTTTATAGAGTGTTAACTCTGGCTTAATGTGTCAAGATTCTGATTACTTAAATTTTTCTGAGTAATTCATCTCATTGGATTATGAATAAACTTGTTCTTAGACGCTTAATACTTTAGATTATATTTTTAGAAACTTGAGTGAACATATTTTGAGCAGGGGAAGAGTTTTCTTGGGGAAAACAGGGGATATGGAAGCGAGAGCAGATAAACAGAGCAGCTAGATTAGAGAAACAGCTAAAAGCAAGATGGGCCGTCGACGGACTAATTGAGGAAGAACTTAACCGCTTTCGGGCCCAATATAACACGGCCATGGTCCCAACCAAACTCAAGGATGTGGCCCAATTAATCATGCCCAAATGGACTCCTTCACCAGAACTAGCCACATTGACCTGGCTAGGCGATTGGCGGCCCTCCACAATCTTGGGCCTGCTTTGTCACTTGGCTCACTCTTCTGCTTTAGAATCAGTTCCCATTGAGGTGGCGTTACCGCAATTGATCAACGAATTTCGAATTGAAGAGGCAGTGATTGATGAGGAAATGGCTGAGATCCAGGCTAATTGTATCTTCCATTTACCATTTGGCCCAAAGGCCCAAAAGGGTGAGAGTGCAATGGCTTGCATACAATCTGAATTTAAGAAGATCCACAGGGTTATTACTAAGGCCCAAAACCTGAGGCTAAAGGCAATGGAAATGGTGGTGAAGAAAGTGTTAAGCAGAACAGATGCAGCAGAGTTCTTGATTGCATTTGCTGGAATTCAAGATTTAGTTCACCAATGGGCTACCCAACAGAAAATGCGCAAAGGTCCAGTTTGTATACGTACTAAAGCCCTGAAGTCTGGTAGCTCACTGAAGCAATAAGAAGGCCCATGATCCAACTTAGAGAAGTTCGTAAGGAGAATCATATTATGATTGATGCTTTTCCAAATTGTAATCTCGGTAGCACTTTTAAGGGGGGTTGTATACGTTTAGGATTTCATTGTTTCTTTTAAAACAATGCCTCAACTTTAGCATTAGCTTTTTATGGGCAGAACTTTTTGAGCTTTACTCTTAAAAACAGTCTTTGTGTAACTTCGTATATACTTCTAATATTTCAATTCCTAACACTTGAATAGTTTTGTATACGTAGTAATACCGTTAATTCTTGGCTTGTCCTTTTTATTGAAAATGTAAAATTTCTTACTTAGTATTAGTACCGTGATCTCTAATATTTCAAATATTTACACTTTGAATCTCATGCGTCTACGTCCAGAGGATCTCAAGTTTATGAATTTAAGATTCGTTTAAGTTACTGAGTTCTAAATTAAAAAAATTATATATATATTTAATGAATTTCTTAAGATAATATATAATTTGTACTAAAGATAGGGGTACAGTCAACTCCATATCTCACATATTAGCTCTTTCCAACCTATTTGAGATATTTAATATGTCCTCCCCTTCGTTTAAGTTGTGAATTTTTTTGGTCAAGTTTAAAGGCTATTTTTTTTTCGCTTTAGCATTAAAGACAAATAAATCCTTATATTCCTAACAAACATTACTTGCGGCAACATGACGTTGTACTCCCACAACCTCCACCATGAATTTCAGGAAGGAAATTCAAACGCTCTCCTTTTAGCGCGTGTTTGTAATCCTCTTCCTTCGTCACATCAAACTTTCCATTCTCTTTTTTTTCATATTTTTTTTTAATTTGATGTTCCCAAACTCAAAGGGATACAACTCCTCATCTTCACTATATAAAAAGAAGCACACCACAAAAGGAGATGCAAACCAAAGCCACCAAGCTAAAAGGTGTATCCCTAAAGAAAAGCTTCGAATCTCAAGACCTTACATCACATGTAACTCACAAAACCCTAAACCTAATCTCTTAAATCGGCTATCATATAATCAATCTCTCAATTATTTTGTAGGGGAAATTAGATTGAAAGATTGTTGTGAGTCGAATTGTTTTACACGGAGATTAAACAATGTCTGCAATTGTTTGCGGCAAGAGATCTTTCTTTGATGATTTACAATCGCCGTCGCCGACTTCAGCGTCGCCGCCTGTCTCGAAGAAGCTTCGCTGTTCTTCCTCCACTTCTCCGGTCCGATTCTCCGCTTCGCCGCCGCCGCCGTCCACGTACATCGATCAGCTGAGAGCTTTATTTCCTGATATGGACAGTCAGGTTTCCCCTTTTTCTTTTTAAATCTTTAGAATTTTGTTAGTATTTGTTCATTTTCAGTTATCAATTCCATATTCATTTTTCTATCTGACGCTTGAACCGCAATCTTAACCTTCATTTCCGACAAATGAGAAATGTTTTTGAATCTTAAAAGGCTTATAGTAATTACTTTGGTTATGTTTGCCACAAATAATGGTAAACATTTTAACTACAAACAGTGGCAAATATGCTATTGAGTATTGACTATGATTATACTAGGTACTGAAACCCAATTGATTATTTTTTCTGTTTTGCTGTTTTGTTTTCTAATAGAAGTTCTGATGTTCTGAATCTTTTATATTTACCGTTCAGCTTATTGAGAAAGCTCTTGAAGAGAGTGGCAATGACTTGGATGCAGCTATTAAGAGGCTACATGAGCTTCACCTTGTGTATGCCAATGGGAAGTCAGTTACCGATGGAGAGATGGATAATGGTATGTATAAAATAATTTTCCCCTACTTTGATGCTCCAGAGTTTTAGTTCTTGCTCATGTTCATTATTCCTTACGTTATACATTGTTATCCCATTTCTGAGGTTGGATCGAGATATATGTATGAGAATGTCATTGATTGCCTCGTTAATTTTATGTTGTATGATTGTTGGGAAGCTACAACTCTATGCCTTGATCAGCAAAAATTATATGGTTGGATCATCAAATTTTTCTTGATAAATGATTTTGTCGGGTCAACATTAATATTCCTAAAATTGTGCTTTGCTGCTGTCTCGTATGGACGTTGGACATTGGATTTTGTTGTTCTTTATGCTCACTGAGAGGACATTTTAACTTTTATGAGAAGTTTCTAGCCTTGTCAAAAACAAATCAATAATGGAGCCTCAAACCGAAACTAGTTGGGGTTGGCTATATCTGTTCAGCTGTATTCGAGCCTTTTCATTCCAATACATGAGCAAGAAGGTAGCAATAAACTAAAGTGAGAAAGTAAGTGCTTTCTTATCCCCCTAACTGCATGTCTATACCTATATATGTTTCTATGGAGTTGTATGAAACTATTTATGCGAGCTCTCAGATGTTTCAGATAAGTAGCCGTCTGATGTTTATCTATTTGTATAAAAATACTACGGCCACCTGTGTTTCTCCACGACTTTTTGGTCCTTATTGATACACCATGCTGTTTCTCGTGAATTATAAACCTTACAAATCAAGTCTCTTGCAGGAGAAAACCCAGCTAATGGCCCAGATGTCCGATCTGAAGGTCCTCCTCTCCAGAATAATCTTCCAGCTGATGGTGCAGAATGGGTAGAGTTGTTGGTCCAGGAAATGATGAGTGCTACAAGCATAGATGATGCTAGGGCTCGTGCCACAAGAGTGTTGGAGAGCCTAGAGCAATCAATTAGTGTGCATGCCGGTGCAGGAGCAGCTCAAAATATTCACAAGGTTGGTATTGGATTTGTGTGACCATTAGATCTGTAGGTTTGAGCTAGAATAATTTTTTGATGTCATTGTAGTAGAAGAAATTGCTGACTTCCAGATACTTCTTTTTTCTGCTATATTTACTAAGCTTTCAACAAAAAGATATACTGAGCATGCCTATGCTGCTTCAATTTTAGTGCACTATTTCTTTTGCTTTATTGTGGTACTGTAGTGCTTAGTGGGTCTGAGTACAACAATGCTACTCATGTTCGGTAATTTACCATGTTGTCCTTCTAATTCACTGGTATTCACCTACAAATCTTTTGGATGTTGACCATGTCACTTCTTTTTCAGGAAAATATGATGTTGAAGGAGCAAATTGAGGTGCTTCTTAGAGAAAATACCATTCTCAAACGTGCTGTTTCCATCCAGCATGAACGACAAAAGGAGTATGATGATAGAAATCAGGAAGTGCAGCAATTGAAGCAGTTGATCGCTCAATATCAGGAACAATTAAAAACGCTTGAGGTAAAAGCTGGAGCTTTAGAGACTAACTTTTCTTGAAGTGGCTCACTTTTTTCATCTGACCTTTTTAGTTTTACTATTGATGTTTCCTGGTGGTGGTGGTCTTATTTTGCATATTGGTTTTCATATTATTTAACAAACACTTAATTCTCATATTTTTTAGAACTGCATAGTCTGCATTGCAGTACCATGCCTCCTCCATCCCATGTCATGAAACTAGGCATAGGGAGTCTAAGTTAAATTGGATTTTGTGTTACATTAATAGTGGTTCAAAAATTACGTTGTTTAGAGTGACTCTGATAGAGAATATGATCTTTAATTTTGACAAATAAATGGATTTACATTTTTGAATTTTGAATTTTGTGAAAGTAGTACAACAACAAACCCAGTCTAATCCCACATGCCTTACCCCCTACCTTGTGAAGGTAGAGAGATTGCTTCCAATAGACCCTCGAATTTTGTGAAAGTAGTATTAAATGATATTATTATTAGGTATATAATTGCAAATATTTTTGGCGTATCAAAATTCAAGGAATGTTACAAACTAGGATAGAGTGAGTATAACATATGTCATATCTAGGCCTTCAGAGTAATAATTCTACTTTTGAGAATGCCTGCTATACTTGTTTATGCTGGAAGCAGAAGCGATAATCGAGAAAAGTGCAACATTTTACTTAATAAATGATTGAAACTTTGGATATTGTACATCTATATTTTTTGGTGAAACATTATATGTCATTACTCCAAGCTAGTAGCACCTATATTTTTAGGTAAAACAATTTTCAAAATATTGACATAAAGATCTTTGCATTACTGCTATTTTGCAGTGCACATGTATTTTACTTTCGTCCTTGTTTTTAGACTCGTGCGCTTTAGAAATTTTGTGAACCACTGCCTGTCCATGTGCAAACATGAATTGAAAATGGGAAAGAGGAAGAAAAGAGAGGAAAGTTTTCTTATGTTCCCTCTTTCTGTTCTCTATGGAATGAATGCAAACAAGATTGTCTACTCAGAATTCCTAATTCAGTGGTCGTCATTGCAGGTGAATAATTATGCTTTGAAAATGCATTTGCGCCAGGCTCAGCAAAGCAACTCTATTCTTGGACGGTTCCATCCAGATATCTTCTAGTGTTGAGACACATTCAGATAAAGATGTGGAACATACAAAGACAAAGCCCGTTGGCATCTTGTCAGCCATGATATAGGATGTATTAAGCGAATTCTATACTAATATTGTTTTTTAGATTGAGAAATGGTTTGCATGTTAAGTTGAGGCCACTTTGGTTGATGATCCTGATTAAGTAATGAGGAATGGGCATTATCCAAAAGGCGAAGGCCTCAAATGTGCTAGTACAACTGATATCAGGAAACTGGAGATTAAAATGTCTAATTTTGCTTTCTGCTATTCATTTGATATCAGGAAACCGGAGATTAAAATGTCTAGTTATTTCATATGCAAAATCATCCACTTTATAACCTGTTCTTTTCAATTTGATCGACCAATGTGAGATCAGAAATATTACCCTCAATTTTCTATGGTGGTAACCATCTACTTTGGCAGGCAGATGAAGTACTCTTTTCTGGCAATAAAGCACCTGGTGTGAGTTCTGGTCGAATAGCTGGATTCGGGAGAAAATTGATCAACAGAGAATCCATGTGCATTCGGATCCCTTTAGTTGTATCTGATTCTGGTTCCATTAGGTGGTAGAATTACGTAGGGAGATTAAAGTTGGAGTAAATTCACTTGACTCCTTTAACACATTCAGATTGAAAGAAAAATACCTCTTTCACTTTAGTAGCAAATGGTCTTGAATCTAAAGTCAACAGAAAAGATCAGCAATGTCATTCAATATTATACCATTTATGAATTCTTTTTATTCCTCAGCTAATCAAATAGTAGTAGAATAGCCAGTCATTTTCACGCTTTTCTCAAATATTTTTTGTTATAATAATCTGAAAAATGCATTTATAATCATTTTGCCAATTAGAAAAAACAATTATGAATGGTTAAATAGTTTATAGTACTATATAAATCCGAGAGGTTTTGAAATTTTGTTGCCATCGAAAATTTTCAAAATTTTAGCGTCGAGGAGTTGCGTTAAAAAGTAAATGTAACTTGGTGAGAATTACACTGTATTTCACAGGACAATATAAAACGTGTTGTATAATTGAAACATATTATGGTATTGAAGCGCGTCACAATATCGGACCACATCTTTTGGCTCTCACCTCCTGTCTATAGGATAACCATTCATCTCTTTCCTTTATATATATATATATTCTTTTTTTCTATTTTCCCCAATTCCCCAAATACCAATTCGGTAACAACGGAATGACCAAAATCAAACGGTTCTCTCTCTTGTTCATCTTCTTGTAAAACAGTTAACTACTCTCCCAGTTCATTCATGAACTCTACGGCAATGGCCAGCACAGCTTCTCTATCTCTCCGCCCTTCTTTTCTCAGCTTCACTACCTCCGACCGCTCCCATTGTCCCTCGCTTCCTCCTTCTTCCTCTTCTTGTTTCTTCTCCGGTGGGACCCCTTTGTGGACCCACAAGAAGCTTATATCTGTTTCCTTTTCTTCTTCTTCTTCTTCTTCCTCCCAGTACAATAAGAAGATATCGGCACGACGCTTTGGAAGATTGGTGGTGGTTGCTGCCGCTGATTATTACTCCACTCTTGGGGTCCCAAAATCTGCTAGCAGTAAAGATATTAAGGCTGCTTATCGAAGGTTAGCGCGCCAGGTACTGAATTATTCCAAGATATTGGCATTTGATTTATTTACGTATTTCCTGTTTATTTTTGCGGAAGCGGATAAGTGTATTTAATTTAAGGTTTAAGAAGTGAACTAGCAGGATATTTACGATTTAGTGGTCTTTCGATGGGAACAAGAGGGAAAGTTGAAGATTCCCCGGAATAATGTAACTGAACATATGTAAATTGTGTTGCCAAGATTCTGATGAACTTGTGAATTAGCAGATTAATTGATTTTTAGTTTTCAATGAACCCTTACTAGATGATAGTTGGCACCTTTATTGTTTACTGTTGATCACAGATGGAGGGAGCTCTGGCACTACACATCATGAAGAATTATGATATAGTGCCCTCGTATATAGGATTTGGAAATATGTAACCTTGTTGCGGACCATAAAATATATGCATTTTTTTTTGGATAGCACAAGTTGCTAATTATAAATTTCCATTTCTATTTCAAGTATTTTGTGCTACTCAATCTGATTTTGTATGGTTGGGACTGCCTCTATCGTGAAGGAGCTTAGACTGAAAAGATGCTAATAACGCGTTATGAATCGTTGGTCTGCATATGGCATCTTTTTCTTTGTATTTTTTGATTCTTTACTTTCTGTGCGCGTCCATAACTTATATACTCTAGTAGGATGATGAATCTTATGCTCGTCTTACAACTACTGCTACACTTTTGCCCAGTTCTTTGGGCCTTCACAATTAAGATAGTTCCACAGCAACACATTATTCTATTCTCCAATAATCTGTTTCTTACTTTGATGGTGTTTTATAGTATCACCCGGATGTCAACAAGGAACCTAATGCACCAGAAAAGTTTAAGGAGATTAAGGATGCTTATGAGGTAAATATGGAAGTTTAGTAATTTTAACATCTGATCCCAGGCAGTGTTTCTTATTTCCTTCTGAAAATATTGATCTTCTGGTATACGTGGCTTTTATACAGATTCTGGTATTGTCATCTCTATATTCCCCTCTCTCCCCTTTGCTTGGTGGAATTACTGTTTATCCACTTATTCAATCTGTTTCTTCATGTATCTACCTTTGAAACTGCAATGGTCGTCTGTCTGCTAAATCCGAAATGATCCATTTTCTCACGTATTTTGCAAATGGTCTGCTTTTTAATTAAGGTGGAAGTGCCATATTTTATCTTTCAAACTATCTAAAGGTTTAGAATCCTGCTGTTAGTATCTTGACATATTTCTCCTTTTTTTTTAACTTTTTCGTGCGACTCTGAAGTGTTAACTTTCCAGGTACTATCAGATGACAAAAAAAGAGCATTATATGATCAATATGGTGAAGCCGGGGTGAAAAGTACTGTAGGGGCCCAAGCAGGAGCTTACACGGTATGCCATAAATTCTTATTTATTGTGTTCCAAAAAGATAGCATAATTTTCTTTTAGTCCTTCTCGAATTAATATCCACTTTCTTTAGAGGGGAAGTTTTAACTCATGTAATCTGAACACAATACGTATGACCAACTTTTACTCTTCTTATGCACCTTATATTCTATTTTGGCAATAACTTTTATGGCTCAAGTGTGTTACCAATAAACAACTCATTTTCTACTTTTTTCTTAGTTCCCCTGCCAATTCCAAGTAGGACCATGGAAATGGGACAGAGAAAGTACCAAAAATCATGGCTTATCGAAAAAGAGTAGTACCAAATATCGTTATGATAAATTTTGTCATGTAGTAACTTGGATCCTTTGATGGAAAATTTTGAAATTTACTTTACTCAATATTGTATGTTTAGTTCATGCTTTTCTCTAAGTATGAAAGGGTCTGGAAGTAGTTATTTCCTTGGTGACATTTGTCATCTATTTTACCAAGCAGTTCTAGTATGTTCTTGTACTACGCTTACATACACAATATCTGCAAGTTTTGGCAATTACAGGTTGCCAGTGTTTGTCCTTCCCGCAACTGTGAGTGCTAATTTTTTGCCTTTTCCTCCTCTCACCCCACTTGAAGAGGAAAATATATTACATTGTGAATTGAGAAGGTTTATAGAATTCTTTAGGTTTCATTCAATTTTCAAATGGGAAAAGAGTGCTGTTCAGTTATGTTGAATGGCATGACACAGGTAATATCAGCAAACTTTACCATTCCTCCTCCCACCACTTAAAAAGCAGAAAAGTTATTAGTTCAACCAAGATTATGTATTAAAAGAAGAATAGAATTCTTCCTACCTATGAAGATAAATATATTATCATTTTGCAAATAGAATGTGAACGGAAGAAGTTGAATCGCGGTGATGGTTTCTGTGTACTTTCTGTTTTTTGCATGCCAGCCGATAGATTGGGTTCTGTTTGATTTAGGAATGGGAGTTGGACTTGAGTCTAAGTAAATGTGTCGATGTGTACAGGCAGCATGCCCATATGCTATTCTTCTAATTTATTTACTTTTAAAAAAATGGTAAAATGAGTAGGTTGCAGAAGAAAGTGGGAAGATACATAATATTTGCATGGTTATATGGAAATTGTCTTCGACTCTGATCTGTTTCTTTTTCTATTTTGGTGAATTCTACTGCAGACAAATCCTTTTGATCTATTTGAAACATTCTTTGGACCTTCTATGGGTGGTTTTGGAATGGACGGATCTGGATTTGGAACGCGTCGCCGCAGTACTGCTACCAAGGGTGAAGATCTACGGTGAGTCAGGAGCTGATTGGAATAATTTGATCATCAAATAAAAGCCTATACTAAGTTGTGGTCACCGGTATACTTGTAAAAAAGGCTTTGGTCACACGTCTGCTTCATTAATCATGAGGAGAAAACTGTTTCTGTCTTTCTGATAACAAATATGCATTGCTACCATAGTATGACAGGTAAACTATAGGACGAGTATGGCCTCTAACCTATCATATAGCAGTGGACCATAGCTCCATTAGAATGATAATTTGTAGTATCAAGTGGAACTTCTTCAAAATCATGGTTACAATTAGACTTGCTAACCATGCGGGCAAAGCTCATTCTGACAACTGATAGCGTCTTGTAGTTACGTAGTATGATTGGTAAAACTCGGGAACAGCAAAGTCTCTAACTCCATTTCAAAATAGTGCTGGAGTCTTTATTAGGAATTAGGTGCTATCAGATATCATTTATATTCATGTTACTGATCTTTACTTACGACCTGAAGAACTAGCTGAGCATGATATCAGCATACATTTGTGCTTGAAATGGTCTTTACATGAATTGTAGGTTTCCGTCTCTTTAACATATCAATCCCCTGACATAAAGAAGTATGCCAAGTTCAAATTGGATTGTGTATACTTGCACAAAATGAAGCATACAATATTATCCTAGGAACAATGTATAGTTTAGAAGCATAAAAGTTGAAATAGACACTGTTTGATATAAACTTCAAGTTTGCAGATCAAATAATATACTGGCAAGCCTAATAGAGTTTATTTACACTTCAATGCCTTTCAGTTACGACATGACATTAGGATTTTCAGCGGCTATCTTTGGAGCAGAAAAAGAATTCGAGCTTTCACATCTTGAAACTTGTGAAGTTTGTGTGGGAACTGGAGCAAAAGTAGGTTCCAAAATGAGGATATGCTCAACCTGTGGTGGCCGAGGTCAAGTTATGAGGACTGAACAAACACCTTTTGGCATGTTTTCTCAGGTAATAACATATAAATCTATTCTTTGGTTGGCTCTTAGATTACATTTTTTTTTTATTATAAGTTTGTTGGGATTTCATTTATTATTTCTTTATCACTTTCAGTTGATGACAGAATTAGTTTTCTTTGTTCAAAAATGAGTTACTGGATCCATATCCTCTAGAGCATCCTTATCTGATATTACAACATGAGCATGTTTTCAGGAGTCCCGAGTCATTTTTAAGAGAATCAATCTGTTTGCTGTTGCTTGTAGAGAGAATCAGCTGCTAACTAGGGGTGTCAAACTTAGCCCATATGAGTATAACCTTCCCAAGCTGTCTAGTTCGTGTGGGTTGGGAATAATTTCATTGACTCAAAAAGTAGAATTATTTTTCGTCGTATATGTGTGTTCATCCATTTTCTCTCTCTATAA